TATAAAAATTTGAACTTGCTTCTTTCTAGCTTTGACAATTGAGAAATAGGATTCCCATTCCTATAAGTTTTATTTAACTTTTCTTTGGGACTTTCATGTAGTTGTTTTATTTTTTATTTTTATTATTCTTTTTTTGAGACGGCTACAGCTTTGGGTCATTTTTTAACTACTGTATTCCCACAAGGAATCCCTAGATATTTATATATCTTGATGTTCAGACAGTTACGTATGTGTTGATACTTTTTTAATTATTTAAATGTACTTATATTAAGAAAAATATCAAGTACTATACTTTTTTTATAGTAGCCAGAGTTAAATGTGTCACATTGAAGAAGGCTGGAAAAAGAAAAAAAAAAAAAAGGATGGGTAATGTGATCACTTGGTTATCTAGAAATATTGTTTACATTAAACTCCCTTTCATGTTAATTAAACAAGTTGGTAGCTCATGCAGCCATGTTTTTAATAGGATTTTTAAAAGTGAGGTCACTCCAAGGATCAAAAATACAGACTTTTCTGCTAGGCTCAATAAAGGGTCTCAGATCTGGCTCTCTCCCTTCAAATAGAAGGTCAACTCTAGTCCCAGAGGACTCCAGCAGGTGCCAATGATTACACCTCGGGAAAGAATTTAATTTCTGCTTAGGGGTATGCTTGTACCATGGGCTGATAATCTCAGGCATGCTTTGTAACAGAACATATCCAAAGTAAGCTGTGTGGAGAAGCAGTATTTACCTAGGAACTAAATGGTGAATTCCTTAACCTCTCAATTTTGGGAGAGCAAGAAAATATTTCTCTTCAATAAAATATCCATTCACTGATGCAGAACAACACTTGTAGCTATCCTCCAAAAATGGGAGTAGGAGGGATAAGTACCTTTGAGGACAAAGGTCTCCAGCTGAATTTTCAGAGGGTCAATCCAAAAGCAGGCCTAGAGGAGCCACTTTCTGCCTACCCAGAAGGAATCACCTGGGAGAACATCATCCCACCTTTCTGGGAACTCCAGTCCCGACTGCTCAATATTTTTGTTTTTGTTCTACTGGGCTGAGACCCTACCCTGTGGGGGGGTGCACTTTCATCTGTGTGCACCACCATGACAGGAAAGATTCATGTCACTGTTACCCATGGCTACAATTCAAGTGGATCCCATATCGCTGTAAATTTCATGGCACTATTTTCATTGGAGGACTTGGTCAGAAGGCAGTTTTGTACAACTCATAAATACTAACTGCTGATTTTGACGTGTGCTCAAAATGATCTGATTATTTAATGTATCTCTTAAATTAGTTGAAACCATTTCAGGTCATCTGAAGAGTGTTTGAAAGCAGGACTTCAGAACAGTGTTTGATTTTTATTTTATAAATTTAAGCATTCAAATTAGATCTTTGGCTGCAGGCAGCAAAACAGCTGGACTTATTTAAAAACAACTTGTTTTTTAGTTATTATATATATATATATAGATTATTTGTTTTACACAGATGCAGAAGCACTTTGGTAAGAGAATAAAGCAGCTTGTGATGTCAGGTTCTTATCTAGAGAGAACTATAACAGATCTCACAGAAACTCAGAATATATTCATTTTCATTTTAGATATAACTCCCTCCACAATTCAGTTTTATGTTATTCCATACTATATTTTTTCAGCTAAACTGCCATCAAATGTCAGAAAACTAAAAATTTAATTTTTGGAACAGACAAATACCTATTTCCCCAAAATTAATTTAGATATTCTTTCAGCACATGTTGTCCATATCTGACCTGAGAAAATGCTGGGGAAGGATGAAGGGAAAATTTATCTTTTTCACCATAAGTCTCATACCTAAAGATAATGCCAACTCAAAACCAGCCTAAAACCCCCTGTGGGGAATTGGAGACTCTCTCACAGCTCAAAGCCATCACAGAGAAGGCTCGTCACTGATGTACACTTACTGACTTGGCAGTTCAGAGGTTCACAGACTTTACCAATATATATATATATATATATATAGTTTTTAATCGTTTCAGGAAAAAAAATTTAACTTAATTATTTTGGAGATAGTTTTCACACAACATTTTTTCTGAGAAATTGCATTCATTACGTTCAGGCAAATTAAGGTGTCTTTACTCGTGCTTCAGGTAAATTGAGGAATCAGCAAGATTCTTAATCATGTAATAACGGGCTGTATCTAGGAGTTTTGGTCCAGGAGAAGAAAAATGGAATAAACCATTTGTACTGCTTACTCATTCCACAATGTATGATTTCAACAAGGACATGTTTCAGTTCTTTCTGTCTTTCTCACTATCTGAAAATGCATCTCTGTCTCCCTTTCTGCCCCACTTCCACTATCTTCTTTCTCTCCCTGCTTCTTCCTCCAAACTCCACCTTCTATAGCACACATACTCACACCCCATACCAAATGTCCAGGACACAAGGAGGTCCAGTTCTTCTCACTTTGCATCAAGAACAGGGTGAGTCAGCCTTTCTCCTGCTTATGGGTTTCTTCCAGCAGACCAGAGACATTGCCAACCATTTTGGATCTGCTTGCCGTCCAAATGCAGCAACAGAAACCTTCCTGGGCAAATTACAATCAGTGAGTAAATAGCCTTTTTGCTGCCTACGGTTTCTGTGCGGATAAACAGAAATGCTCTGATTGGAAAGGAAATGAGTGGTTTCACTCAAATGTCTTGCAATTAAAGATTGCAGATTTCTGTCTTGAAATACCTGTTTCCTTGGGACATTCCGTCCTGGTGATTTTTTTTATTTTGATGGTTTTGTTTTTGGTTTTTTTTTTTTTTGGGGGGGTGGCATATTTGGGGTCTTTTATACATGAAAAAAAAATAGGTTAACAGTAATCTCAGAAAACTTTTTACATCTGAGCAAAATAACATTTTGTTTACCCTAGAGTATACATTTGCTTGGGTTTTTTTTGTTTGTTGATTTGTTTATTTGTTGGGATTTTTTTCCCCTTCCCTTCAGCCAGGTCAGTATTGATGAAGCTGATCATTTGGCTTTATTTTCCCCTTCCAGAAGGGTTGCATCAACAAAATTAATTGTATTTATGTATGTAAATAGATTTTAAGCTTCATTATAAAATATTGTTAATGCCTGTAATAACTTTTTCAATTTTTGTGTTTCAAAGGACTTGTTCTTATGTTTGCTAAGTACTGTAGGAAAAAATGCTTCTTTCTACTTTATTTTAGACTTAAAAATGACCTACTTACTCACTTTTGTAAACAGCTAATAGCATGGTTCCAATTTTTTTAAGTTCACTTTTTGTTCTAGGGGAAATGAATGTGCAAAAACCAAAAAAGAACTGTTGGCTATTTATGCTATTCTGGATGTATAAAAATCAATGGAAAGAATAAACTCCCAAATTGAAATGACGGTATAACACATCTATTGAAAAATCAATGGAAAACATAGTTTTACTTCAGCCCCCACCAAATGCCTATTTGTGTGGCAGTTATTAGATGTGGTCACAGAGCATCCTGGAAGTTGATGTGTGGGCTTCTTTTTCCCTGGTACTGATATACTGAATGCTTGCTGAAGGGGAACTGTTAAGTTCAGATAAGAGGTAAGAGAATCCCCCAGAATCTCCTTCCAGGGTGTTTCTAACTAGCACAGGAGAGCAGGCACTCCAC